AGAAAGGATAAGACTTCACTCTGAACTCTTGAGTTTTGTCAGCAGACATTTGACTGTTTTTACATTCAGGGAGAACACACAGGAGCCAGTCAGTAGCTCAAAAGGTCAAACAGTGAGCCTGACACTTCCTCTCCAATGTGCTGTTGTGTTCATTCTGTCATCTTTCCTGTTGCTTCCTGTTGGGGTGTATGGAAAACACTGTTTACAGATTTTAAGTGTCTTGTCTGTGTGATGCTTAAAATGGGCTGGTTCAAGTCCTGGCTGCTCCACTTTCAATCCAGCTCTCTGCTAATTATGTCCAACAAGGCAATGCAGGATGGCCCAAGTCCTTGGGACCTGCACCCATGTGGGAGACCTGTACGAAGCTCCTCGCTGCTGGCTTTGCACCTGCCTACCTGTGACCATTGCCACCATTTGGGGAATACACCAGTGGATGGAAGCTTGCTCGCTCGCTCTCTGTAAATCTCCCTTTCGAACAAAAATAAATAAATAAATATTTTTAGAAAGAACAAACAAAACTGAAAACCCACAGACTTTTGACAGACTTTTCTATAAACTCATAAAAAACCTTTTGGCAAGCTAGAAACAGACAGGAACTTGGTAAGAATCCTGCAACTGCTATCATGCTTACTTTGCCGAGGATTAGGAACAGAGCAAGCTGCCCACTCCCGGCACTCACAGTGGAAAACTTAGTATAGTGAGGCAAAGCAGTAAAAGGCACAATGGATGGAAGAGAAGAAATTGAGTTGTCAATTAAGGAGGGGAAAAAAAAGCCCAAGAAATCTTCCCCGAAGTCAACAGCAACAACAATCCCATCCTTGGAGCAGACTCGTAGCTTAGCAGGTAAGATGCCCACCTCCTACCTCGGAGTGTCTGGGCTCACTGTCCCAATCCAGTCGGCCACCTGACACTCAGATGATTCGGCCACCCATGCAGTAATCTGTGCTTCTGGTTCCTGAGAACAGTCGTTGACGGGGGTAGATGGAACCTCTCCTTTTCTCTGGCTCTGTTCTCTGTCTCTCTGCCTCTCGAAAAATAAAACAGGCAGTTTTTAGGAGATCCTGTTTTAGCCAGGTCACAAGATATAAGGTGCACACATAAAAATATTTCTTTGTATTAGCCATGTGCCATTGAACAGAAAAGTAGACAAGCTAATGCCTTTTAAGATAAAGAGAAATGGAATACTGTGCTATAAATCTCACAGAATGTGTAGAATCTGTATGCCAAGAACTGCCAGATGGCTAAACTATAATTTATTTAACACATAAATCATTTTATTTATTTGCCATCAAGATTTCTCTGGTTGTGCTCAAAAATTACCTTTGGGACCAGATTCCAAAGTAACAAATCATTTTTATGCATTTACCTTCTGTGTTATATGCAATAGATATATCAGTAGACTGTGTATATATGTGTGTGTCTGTGCACACACATATATATTTATAATTTATCTAATTTAAAATTTTAAAGTTTTAGTTCTCTTTTTTTTTGCCATAAAGGTCCAACCATTCATAATGCACTTTGAAATTGCATTTCATATTTTGCCTGCTCATTCATCTCTATCAGTGTTGCTAAGGAACTATTATAGATATATCCCACTGTACCTCCTCAGATTCTACCATACATGTCAACTTGAATGCTTTTTTAAATTTTTACTTGGAAGATAGAAACAATACACTTTCTATAAAGCTCAACTGAATCTTATTTTCTCTTCATCAACCTTTTTCTTTCTGAATTTTGGTTTTCCTCTTTTGACACTTGTGGTTCATATGTCTGTTGCAAAATCAAAAAATGTTTGTTTATATTGCTGGTTTATGTTATGTTAATTTAATGAAAATGAGCCGCTGAAGTAAATGTGTGATGTGCATATGCATTAGTATTGTGTGTCTCTGGGAGACTAGAACATTCTAGCATTATCTTTCTGAAGCCGCCCCTGACATAAGTTTCATAGTGCAGTGTTCACAAGCATACTGTAGATTGTGATCCCCTGCAAATTGGGACTGGGCTAACCACTCAGAGGATGGCAATGAAAAGAAACATTTCATTTCCCTTAAGTGCTGGTAGTGCAGTGCAGTGCCGTGGTTTAAACTGTCGCTTGGGATGTCAGCATACCATGTTCCTGCAGGTTTGAGTCCCAGCTGCTCTGTTTCTTAACCAGCAGTTTCCAGCTAATGTGCCTGGGAAAACAACAGACACCTGCCACCTGCCTGGAATACCAGGATGGAGTTGCTGGCTCACAGCTTTGGCTTGTCCCAGCTCTGGCACTTGTGGCCATATGGGGTAGGAGCTAGAAAGTCTCTGTGTCTCTGCTTCTCAAGTAAATAAACTGTGGTGTGTGTGTGAGAGAGAGAGGGAGAGAGAGAGAAGAAAAGAGCTACTTTGTGCCAATCCTTGCTGGGTGTGTCATTTGGGGCTTAGCACACGGTGCAGGAAGGCTAGTTCTACCCCTAGGGTAGAGATTTTTCCTTTTTTTTTTTTTTGGTCAGAGGCCATTTTACACCTTTTGCAGGCCATAAAAATTATCAACCAAAAAATGAGCTCAAAGTTCTATTAGGCTGATGGAATTTTTAGTTGCCACTCAGTTAATCAGGATGGTTAATTAACGACAGAAAACCAGAATTGAATTCAGAATAATTTGATTAGTGTGGGAGGCAGAGGGGATGCCTTTAAGGTGAGTTGAGTCTTAGAATAATACAGACACTTGGGAAAGGAACCGTCTGGATGGAGTGCCACGTGTTGCCTTCCCATTCAGTAGCTTGGCTGTGAGGATGCAGGGACAGCTTTAACGCAATCCTCATCCCTCTACATGGGGGCAGCCAGTCCAGACCTGCTCCCTTCCCTGGTTTCTGACTATCCTAGGATTTCCATTGGATTTGACCATGAACTCTCAATGCCTACACATAGCAGTTACCTCCTCCCGCTCTCAGTCTTTCTGGCAATGCTTGTCTATGTCTTCTTACACTTCTAGGAGAAACCTGCCATTACTGAACCAATTTGTTGCACTTTTTTTTTCATCCAACTTCTCTGCTTGTTGATTTCCAGTTGTTAACATTAATTTTAAAAGGAACAGTCCACAGAATCATTGCTGTCTATCAGCTAAATGGCAGATTTAAGTCTAAACATGAACTTTTTGATGTTCTACTCAGACGATGGTATAACTGTAACCCCTTCTTATGTGCCCAGAACTGCTAGAAATGTTAAGCATACTGAGCTCATTTGACTCTCAAGAATAGCTCATGAGGTGGCAACTGTAGATAAAGTTTCCAAGAGTTGACTTGCCCGCCGTGACACTACTGGCAAAAGGCAGAGACTACAACAGTCTAACCTAGCTAACCTGGGTCCAGAGGGGTGCTGATGTCCAATGCTTACCCCACATTAGAACTGGCTCCCAATCAGGGCCCAAGAGCACATCAGAGGGCAGTTAGACACCTAATCAACTTTGAAACAACTGCCAAATGTTGGGAGGGTTAAATGAATTTGGGGATCTACAAATTTAGGGATTTATTGCGAAGACTTTTTTTTCCCCCAATGATTGCCTCTTTTGTTTGTGTGATTTGTTTATTTAAAAGGCAGAGTTATGGAGAAGGGGAAGAGATGGAAGAGAGAGAGAGATCTTCCATCTGCTTATTCACTCACTACATGGCCACAATGGCCAGGCTGAAACCAGGGTACTTGAACTGGAGAACTGGGGTCCAGGCACAGGGGTCATCTTCTGCTGTTTTCCTAGCTGCATTAGCAGAGAGCTAGTTTAGAAGTGGAGTGGCCACTTCCAACCCAGCTTCCTGTTAATGCACCTGGGAAAAGCAGCAAAGGATGACCCCAAAGAAGCTTCTGGCTCCTGGCCTTGGACTGGCCCACATCCAAACATTGTCGTCATTTGGGGAAATGAACCGGTGGTTGGAAGGTATCTGTCTATCCCATTCTGTAAACTCTGTCTTCTAAATAAGTTAAATAAATGTAGGGGAAATAAAAAACAAATGTGGGTAACAGGGACCTATCCACTCAAGCCATCTATTTCACCAGGATACACATGATCAGGAAGCTCGAATTGTAAGAAGAGCAGGGACTTGAACCCAGGCCCTCCAGTACAGGATGTGGGCATCCCCAGCTGTTGTCTTAATTGCTGTGTCAAATGTCTGACTCATTTTTTTTTTAATAAAATACATATTTTGGGGGTACAATGTGATTTTTCAATGCATGTATATAATGAGTATCATCATGTCAAATATTTATCAAATCTTCATCTTGAGAACATTCAGAATTCTCTCTGCTAGCAACTCTGAAATACGCAGTTGGTTATTACCTTCATAATTATCCTGCTGTGCTATTACAGTAGAAGTTGTTCCTACTGTCCACCTGCACTCCTGTGCCTGTTAACCATCATCTCTGGTGACCACTGTTCTGCTCTACCACAATGAGGTGCTCTCAAATGAGTGCTTAGAAGAAGTAAGGAGTATTCTGTGTCAGTTGAAGATCAACTAGTAGATAGTCCAGAGTTCTTCGAGTCAATCGGGAGCTATCCTCTTGCCACCGGGTCTAAGGGGAAAAAAAACAAACAAAAAAGACATAGCAAGGTGTGAAAGCTAAGAACCTGTTCCAGACAGCTGTAGCATTTAATTTTGAGCAAATATATTCTTTGTGCTTACTGTTCATCTACTGTGAGCTAAAACAGCAGCAGAATCTTAGAACTACATACAGCTGTTCTACTCCCATGTTTCCTAGCTAGGCAGAACTTGGAAGTCAGACGTATGCTGTGCGGTGACCACGCGGTAAATGACAGCACTGGGGTTGAATCCAGGCTTCCTGACAGCATGGCCAGAACTCAGGCTGTTTGTCAGTTTTTGTGGTGGGTCTCTGGTGAGGGAGTTTCACAGTCACAGGAGATTTTTAAGAATTCCTACTTAACAGAGTGAGATTTTTCCTGGGCCAGAAAGCAGAAGGGCAGGGAGGACCATGGGATCAGGTGTACTGATTGGTCAATGTCCTTTTTCCCTGTGTAGTATGAGCCCAGAGGACCCGGTCGGCCCTTGTACCAAAGAAGAATCTCATCCAGCTCAGCCCAGCCTTGTTCTGAAGAAGCAAGCACTCCTCGAGACAGTCTGGCTCAGTGCAAAGAGCTCCAGGACCCCGGGAACCAAGCTTCTTTCAGCTTCTCCCCAGAGTCCTGGGCAGACAACACCTCATCTGCCCCCTATCAGAACATTCCGTGCAATGGATCCAGCAGGACAGCCCAGCCCAGAGAGTTGATAGGTAAGACCGAGAGGGTGGGCTGCCAGGACATCGCCATTCAGCTGCTTAACTGCTACCTCCCTGTGAACTCTTCTACACCGCCCTTCTTCACTCCCATCGTTGTCACTGAACAACAGTTAGTGCTTGTGGCTGAGAAATATGCCTCAAGCTTAGATTATTACTATAGGGTTATTGTGATTTCCTACTGATGGTCTGAAAGTAGGTTCACCCAAGTTTGGAAACATGCTTTTGATAACTTAGACCCTGTTGAGTAAATGAAAGAAGTAGTGGGACTTCAGATGGATTTCCAAGTAGGTAATCACTTTTGCTTGGGAGAAGTAAGCTTACTGTTTTTGTTGTTTCTCTCCAGGCTTAGGATGGCAGTTGGTTAGATCAGCAGCAATTATTAAGGTTTGCTGTCAATTAAGTATTCTTGCTATATGGTAGAGTTTGGCCGAGATACAGACCAGCAACGTGTACCATTTTGGGATTTTGAAAGTCTGTGTTGATTTGCTGTGTTCTGGTAAACTGAGAACTCGATCACTAAGGAACAAAGAACACAGGACAGGGCACTTGGCACTTGTGCTGTGTGGTGGGACATGGAAAGCCCTCCTTAGCTGGGAACCTGAGCACACTCTCCTGTTTCCTCGTTCCCCTTCTGATCACAGTGGATGTGAAGGAGCAGCTCAGTCTGTGGTTGGAATTCTCTGACGTCTCCTTCTCACTGTAGGCCAGGGACACTGACCTTGACAGGCGAACCTGCCTTCCCTGTGTGGGGAACCTGTACCCCTGTAGCATGACCTTTGAGGTTAATGTTGTTCACCCTTAGAATGTGAGCCCGCTGGTTTTCTCACTGGCCCATCTTTGGTTAGGCTCCATACCAGTGCCTTTTTAGGACAATGGATTTGATGTGGTGGAAACTGTTTAGGAGATTTTGCTTTTAGGACCTTGCAAAAGTGCAAGAGACACACATTGTCATTTCCATCTTGAGCATTCATTAGTACCTACTGTGTATAAGCTGCTCTCGTTTGCCTGGAGTGGCTCTGTCAGTTTTAAAGTCTGACGTGAATACACTGGTGAGATGATATTTGAATTTCCAGAGAACATCTAAATTACAGATCCATGATGGTAATTTGTTACTTTTGTTTGCTTTGCTTTGTTTCTTATAATTTATTTCAAAAATGATATAATCTCTCTCTTTTTTTTTTTTTTTGGTGCCCCCCTACATTTTAGAATAGTCCATTTCCAAAATCCTTCAAAATCTGACCTGAGCTGATTGAATGTTACATTGCTTACGGTATTTCTCCTGAAAATAGAAAATGATTTCTTCATTCCTAGAAGCCAAATTGAAGTGTTTTTTAGTTCAAAGTAGCAGTTAACCATAAGAAAGGAATTCGAATTCACCGATGTCCCAAGCCCACTTCCTGACTTCCAGGACTGTGTGCTGGTGGAAAGATGAGTAGGAGGTGGTGCTGAGGAGGCAGTCATCGTCACGGAAGGCTCTCCTTTCAGAAGTCTGGGATTTATTTCCTGAGATTCTAGGAAGCCATTTGTATATATTACATTGGTTTGAAATTTAAAAGAGATGCATAACATTTAGAGGGGGAGGTGAGACATGAAGGGTGTAAAGTGGTTTGAAATAATTTTGAGCAATTTTATGTATTAAAAATAATACTGTAAAATATGTATGTGGAATAAATAAAATAGTAAGCCCGAAACTGAAATCTTTCCAACTTAACGTCTGGATTTTAGCATTCCACAGACAATCGTCTCTGCCATGAAGCTGCTTTGTATGTTTTGTCCTACTGGAAGTAGAGGGCTTCCATCCAGCATGAGCGAGGTGTCTCAGAAAATACAAACCATTGTGGTTGCTCATGGTTTCCATGTTTAACTTGCTTTGAATTCTAGGATACAGCAACTTTATTAAATGTCTGGATATCAGAGAGAAACATCTAATTTTCCTCTACTCTGGTCATTGTCTTAAAACTACGCCTGATTGCAGGAAATAGAAACTAATCCAAACTAGCTCAAGTGGATAGAATTTCCTTGGAAATAAGGTCCCGTCCGGTTGACTGGCTTCACGGAAAAGCCAGATGGTTTCCTGGTGGGCATATAGAATGCATGCGAATGCCACAGCACGGCCTTCCCGGCCCCAGGAAAACCCCAAGAGGCAGCTCTCAGGGCCGTGCACTGCTGTGTACACCTGCTGTCCCCTGGCTCACCTCGCCCCTGCATCCTTTGCTGCCTCATTGAGTGCCACCGTGTCCTGATGCCACATTCTCTAGCTAAAAGTCTCAATGTTGTCTCCTTTCTCCCTCCTTCCCTTCTGCACCCCGCTTCTGCCTCCTGCATGCACACATATATACTCTTCTGGGAGAAATGTTTATCATCCCGGTAGAATTTATATAAATGTTTAAAATATTTGAAAACAAAGCACTTATTTGAAAAAAAAAAAAAACTCTGGCTTAATGGATAATAAAATGGGTTAGGAAAGGTGGAACCAAATTTTTAAAAACTATGCCAAGTCGGGCAGATTACAGGAAATGTGTTGATAGGTTTCATTTGGTTTTTGTTTTTGTATTTAAGATTTAAGTCACAATTACAGAGAGAGATGAAAAGTCAGAGAGAGAGAGAGGGGTCTTCCACCTGATGGCTCACTCCCCACATGGCTACAGCTGCCAGGGATGGGCCAGGTCGAAGCCAGGAGCTTCATCCGGGTTTCCCACATGGGTGGCCGGGAACCAAAGCACTTGAACCATTTTCTTCTGCTCTTCCCAGACCATTAGCAGGGAGCTGGATCAGAAGTGGAGCAGCCGGAACTTGAGCCTACACCCATTTAGGATACCAGCATCACAGGCAATAGCTTCACCCACTGCACACATCCTGGCCCCCACTGTGAAGTAGCCTAGAGCTCTCCCCCACCCCAACCCCTTACTCCACACTTATTCACTATGTATTACAAGAAAGGATGGCATTTTGAAATAATAGAATTCAGTGTCACTATTACTTAGACTAATGGTAAAAGGCAATTTTGATCCAGACTCTGCATATATCATTTTTATTCAAGAAAATAGCTGTTTATGAACTATGAGTAGTTACTATAATACTTATCAGAGTATACAGTCATACAAGTTAGTTTGCTGTTCTCCAGTAAGCCTTCTCATTTGACCCTGGCTTTCCTTGTGTTAACTTGCCCAGTGCTGCGGGCGTCTGGAGTACTTGTGTGAAAGAAAGGTCTGGTCGGATGTGCCCTATCCCATGGTTGTGGGGAAAGGAGGTTGATCTAGTCAGATGGGTGCAGGCGAAACCCTCCCTGGTACATGTGGTGTAGTGGCATCCGGGATTCACGTGAGGGGACCGCCCTGTAACCCATGTCCCCCGTTCCTGCTTTCAGCTCCGCCCAAGCCTGCCAAGCCCCCTGAGGAGCCTGCCGAACCCGAGAACCTCGAGGTGGCCAGCCCCTTCAACTACAGCATGCTGCAGCACCTCGGCCAGTTCCCGCCACTGCTGCCTCACAAGCAGGTGGCCGAGGCGGCCGCTGCGGCGGCGGGCAGTGGCGGCAGCAGCGGTCCGCAGAGCTCCGCGTCCAGCAAGCCGGCCATGTCCTATGCCAGCGCCCTGCGCGCCCCGCCCAAGCCGCGGCCGCCACCGGAGCAGGCCAAGAAGGGCAGCGACCCGCTGTCCCTGTTCCAGGAACTGAGCCTGGGCAGCTCGCCGGGCAGCAACGGCTTCTATTCGTATTTTAAATAATCGCTCAGTTTCCTCCTGGGAAAGCTTTTCATTTCTGTTTGTTATCAGTAGAGGTAAGGTAGTGGACTTCACTCGTAGGTGCATCGTGCCCTTTGTTTTAATATCCAATATGTCCTCACTTAATTGCTTTGCTGCTAGACTTGCAACTAATTTTTTAAAAGTATATTCCATTATTTTGCATTTTTGATGTGAGTCAGAATTTTGACAGCTTTTATGTAGAATAAAAAATATTTTTAAATTTGTGTATTGTTACATATGTCTGCATCAAGCTAGCAGCTAAGAGGTTAACTGTGCAACTATGAAAAAAAAAAAGAAAAAAAAACTTTGTCTAAAATTTATTTAAAAAGAAAAAAAATTGTAAGTAGCATTTACATTTATTCAATAATATTACCACATGCTGGGTTTCTGTACCAGAAATGGCCAGTGGATGTACAAAATGTATGTTATTTTTGCTTAAATTCATTTAAAGTTTTTTAAAATAAAGGGGCAGCATCTTCTAAATACTTTTAAGTTTTATCAGCTTTTTTTTTTTTTTTTTTTGGTGACAGGATGCTGCATTCTAAAACTTTCTAGTTTTAGACGACGTATGACTTGCTGTTGTAATCTCCATCCACTGTAGGATAGAGGTAAAGGCATTCTTCACAGTGTATTTCACATGCCACTGGTTTTTTTTTTTTTTTTGAAACACACACAGACAAAAAAAAAAAAAAACAGTGGCATAGTTGGTTATTTTTTGGACAAGCTATACTTCAAGCTTGTTTTTAAATGTTAATTTGATAGTTTTTTTTTTAAACAAATCATGAAGCTGAAAAATTTTTAGGATTGTTGGTGCTTAGTAGACTTGATAACTATTTTAAAATTGCGTGAATTTAGTAAAAATCCTTTTCTTTTCCCCCTCACTATGCATGTGTAAATGTTTGTAACCCAGCTTTCCCTCCTCCGCCAGTGGTATCAAAAATTGTGCCACCTTAAGGTTTGTTTTATTTTTTTTTTCCTCCCTCCAGTAAAACATTTTGGTACATTATTTGATGTTTACATTAAAATGTGACATTATATATGGCAATTCAGATATTTTGCCAGCTGTTTTGTGTGAGGAACATCATTAAAGAAGAAACACAATATCAAAAATACATCACAATTCATCAAAATCTGGGACAAAAAAAAAATACCCTTGCTTCTGAAGTCTTTGATTCTTCCAAAATGCCATTATTGAACTTGTACAAAAATATGAAATTTCAGTCTCAGCGTTGTTTTGAATGGACTTGGGCAACATTGAGAGGAGAGCGTTTCCCTGCCTATACCGCACGCAGTGCTGCGTGTCGGCGGCATTCTCCCCGTCCGGTAGTCATGCTTTTGTGTCTTAGAGCTGAAAGCTAGACGCTCATCTTGGCGTTTTTTTATGTGAGGTGAGGCTGGGCCACGCTTCGGGTCCCAGTCCTCATGGCTGGGCTACGCAAAAGCAGACATTGGGGAGACTACTACTGTTAGGCCATCTTCCATTCACAGCAGTTTCCTAACCAGATTGAAAAGTGGCAAGGGTAAAGAAAATCATGTTTCTGACTTGACTGGAGTTTAGTTCAGGTTGGCCAGCTGCAACCTCCAGATGTTTGGGGATAGAAGAGTGCCTTTGGCTAAAGGTCAGTAAGCTGCAGGACACACGAAGCCTACTGCTGTTATTCATTCCTGCCCTTTGGACCCGAGTGCAGTTCATCTGTGTGTGGCTTTGTATTGCAGGCTATGGGTCTCTGTGTGAGGTGGCAGGTGTATTCATGGTCAGTATAAATCGCAGTTGGAAAGTGAGGGCGGCAAGCCACTGTGCTAGGCTTCCTCTGTATGGCATCAGATGACAAGATGTAGCAATATCAAATGTTACTCAGAAGAAGTGTTTGCCCAAGAGGCTGTGCTTTTCCGATGCTGTGACAAAGCTCAAGGCGTGGATCTTCTGGTGAGAAGGTGTCCATGAGAAATGATTTTCCCATTAGCAATGATTTCCCCCCATACACACACACCAAATATGAAGATAGTTCAAAAAGGGTAGTGGAACCATGGCACTAAACAATAAAGTTTGTTTTGGTCCACAAAAATTTTGAAATCCGTGGACAGTTTTTTCATAGTGCGCATTTCCATGAACTTGACGAAGACCCCTCATTTACAGGAATACAACACAAGCTAGAGAGATGTTCCAAAACTTTTGATACTCTGAAGACAGAATTCTACAGCCCAGAGCTGTCAGGTGAACTGTCCTAAGTGATCACTCAATTGTCTATTTTCCATACTTGAACCTTTGAGAAGACATCAAGTGCTAGATTATTTATATTTCTATAGGGAGGTCCTGAGCACACCTCCAGGACCTTATTTGCAGACACCGATGCTGGAAGATGGGAGCTTTGGATAAGAAAGGTGTGTGACGTTTTCAGCACATTCTCGCCGTTAGCCCCTACATGTGCGGCAGGAGCAGTGGTAGCGCCTCAGGGGCCCACTGCTGGCTGCGCCTCTTTGAGTTTCTCATCTCCTTGTCGCCCCTGCGGCCAGTTAAGGAGTCCGGTGTTGTGTCCATCTCTTACTCTTGGTATTGGTAGGCTCTAGATCTCTTGGCTTTTCCTGATGCTGTGCTTCTAGCCAGGCTTTTAAGAATCTGACCAGTGCAGGGTGGCCTCCAGCAGTGCTGAGCAACCCTCGGTTGAAACGAGCCTTGGCTTCTGAGTGCATTTGATGCTGTTTGGGTATTAGCTCTCTAGTATTGACAAGAACCCATACATCAGACTGGGAAAACATATCTTACTTTACATCTTATATAATAGATTCAACCTTAGAACTCAGATGGAATTCTTCTGTATGTTTTTAGAGAAAATTTAATGAAAAGTCTCAAATAGTACCAATTATTTCCAACTTCCTTTCCTTCCAGAACAGATTTCTTGCAAGTGAGGTTAATTGTTTCCTGGGTGTCTTTCTACTTCCTTTGTTCTTTACATCACTCTGAAGTTTCCTTATTTTTTGCAAGAACTCTTTCTTTTATTAATTTCAGTACTTTATGTTGCCTTAAAGAAATTCTTTGGAATGGTAGAATTTGTATTCATGCTAAATTTTTTTTTTTCCTGATCTAAAAATGTTAAGATTTTAAAAAATTTTGTTCGGTGTTAACATGGATATTTTCTGCTGTGGGTTTCTCTCTCTTTCTTTCTTTTTTTAATTTGATAGGTAGACAGAGAGAGGGGGCGGAGATGTTCCCTCTCCTGGCTCACTTCCGCAGTGCTCACAGGTGGCCAGGGTTGGGCCGGGGCGGCCGGGGCTGAAGCCAGGAGACAGGAATGTAGTCCCTGTCTTCCACATGAGTGTCGGGAGCCCAGTCACTTGAGCCATCACTGCAGCTCGGCATAGTGTGCCTTGCAGCAGGCTGAGAATCAGGAGCCAGAGCTGGGAAACAAACCCAGGCATTCCAGTGTGGCATATAGGCTGCTTCTGCACTGGGCTGACCACTGGGCTCCTGACGTGTTTTTAAGGGGAATTTGGTCCCCATTTTGGCATATGCTGGGCCAAATTGTTGTAGCAGAGCTTTGTTCTTGATTGACTAGTCATTAATTATTGGCCATTTGAACTAATACAACTTTAATTTTCTTTTCCTTACCCAGAGGTCATTTTGTATATGTATAACAAACTGGTTAGTGTGGCTTCCTTTTCTGAAAATCAGAGATTCTCAAATGAGTTCAGGTTTAGTATAAACATCAGCTGTTCTTTGTGAGTTCAAAGAATTGCAAAATGAGTAAAGTAAGTAGCACTCCTGTTGAGGAAGTATTACCTAATTATACACAGCAATCTCCGAGACCTGTTATGAAAAATCATTTCCTTTGCTCTGAGGTCATTCGGGTTGCTGTAAATACTAACTGAATCAGAGGAACTTTGAGATTATTAATAGATAGTATTATGTTTCTCTAGTGTAGTTGATTGTGTTTCTCATTTTGAAGGCAAAACTATCAACATTTAAAAAAATGCATTTCTCGCCACATTGGCTGGAGAGAGCCACCTGGCCTAAGTAAGAGTCAGGTGTGAAAAACAATTTCAGGGTAAATTTTAGTATTTCAGCTATTGCTATTAAGAAAATTAGATTTACTGAAATGATTGTTTCAAAAGAGCCAGCTTTTGCAGCATTGTCTCATAATGGATTGTTCTTTAAGGTGATAGGTTAAACCTTGAGCTGCATTGGAAGACGCACATCGCTGCTTTGAAGTGTTATTTCAGCCAGCTATTCTTTGTCCCCCAGCTCCTCAAAGGTAGTTGTTTGCCTTTGAAGCTTCCCAGGCATGATTCTCACCAGCCACTCCTTTCCCTTCAGATAGTGCCCAGTTCCCACCCCTGCCCCCCTTCATGGACAGGTCAGTGTATTCCTGCCCCTGCTTTGTCCCACGCTAATGCCTCCTTGATCTGCATTCAAACTACCTGGAAATCACAAAAGAATGGATGAAGATGTTCTAACCATGATCTCTTGTTCAAAATGTCACCTGGTGGTGTCTGTCACCTGTTACTAAATCCTCCCCTGGAAGGACTTAGTGGCATGCTAGTCTCCAGCATGTGCCTAATCCTCCACCTCTCCCGCTGCTGGAGGACGGGCCCGCACGGGCCGGGGTCCTACCATGAAGCCACCGGCTTCGCTCCCGCCAGCCCCTTCCCCATCGCATTAGGGCTTTGTGACTCTTGTGACAGGTCTTGTGTTTGACCATCTTAGAAAACCACATTCAGAAAATGTCGTTGTGTTGTCATTAGCAAATAGACCAGCATTGAACAGATTTAAAAAGCTGGCTTTAATGTAACATCTTTGAGCCCACCAAAAAACCGAAAATACCTACTTTGGACTGAACTTTAAGGCAAAGTCACCAGAGTTTGTAAAATGTTTTGAAGGGAGGTACCTAATGGAAGAATCTAGATTTATAGGCATGTGAACGGTGGTTCAATCTAAAACTGAAGTGTGGTGAAAACCCAGACACGTTCCATGTCCTTAATAGTTTCAGTAATCAGAGTATTAGACCCGACTTTATTTGCAATTTGTCCAACCCAGAGATTTTATTTTGGTACAAATATTAAGCATAGAGCATAGTAAGTTTTATATACTTCTATCAGTTCATTAAATAATATTATGAAATTTTCATTATGTTCCTGGGGAGTCTTTTTAGCTATGTCTACCTCATTTATGAGGTCTCTTCTATATTTGATTTTGCATAATAGCATGTGATTGCCTGCCTTAGAACTATGTATGGGGGTGGGAAGGGGAAGCAATATTACCTTCAAAGAAGTTTTTGTTTTTAATGGAAGAATTGTTTTACTAATACTTTTCTCCCTGTAATGTTTGAAACATAAAGGGGAAAGGGTGGCAAATAACATTGATCTCAACAGAGTAGAAGTGATAAGAGTAGCATCCCTTTACCAATCTCCTCTAAGAGTTTAGAATTGTCAACAGGTGAGAGCAATGGTTCTCAAACTGTAGCCAGCACCAGAATTACCTCAAGGTCTTGTTCAAGTAGATTGCTGGCCTCCCTAGCCAGTTTCTGGCTCGGGGCTATGGCCTGAGCGTTGGCTTGGCCAGGAAGCTTCCCCCGCTGTTCCCTTGCTGCTGGTCTGAGAACCACAGGTCTGGCACAGGTCTGCGGGTCTTTCCCACATGCATCCGTTTACTTAGTGTACAAACTAGGTCTTCGGGGACACTTGTCTAGTTCTGAGGCCATGAGTGCAATATTCCTGGAGGAAGAGCTCAATGCCTTTGGCCTGGCTGCCAGCCGCTCCAGGAGCTCTTCCCTGCTGGGGCTCCATGCCCTGCTTCCACATCGGGATGAAGGCTGGAAGCCAGGCCTGTGTCTCATGTGCTCAGGGTCTGTGTTGGTGACCTGTCCGCATGGGAGGAAGCCATCCACACACCTCGAGCCCACGAGGTGCCTGGCCTGGGGTCCCTGTCCCTTGCGGGCATCCAAATCAACAGGTGACCCATGAGTGAGGTCTTGTGCGGTTTTAGTCTGAATTATTTGGGGGGCAGGAGTGAGAGCACAGGATTGACTTTTCAAATGATGCATTTCTCAGGTTCCCAAAGCTATTTTGGATTTTGCCATGCCAGCAGGTATCAGGGAGAGCCCAGAGTGGTGTGTGGGAGCAGGAAAGGAATAATTGTCTCTGATAACTCTGCTACCTTAAAAAAATTTTTTTTTGATTATTTTGCAAAACAGGCTAGGGACTCTGCCATCTGTGCAGCGTGAATGACCCGTAAATCTGAAGTGCGCATGTGTGAGCAAATTATCATCAAGAAAGAAACCACCTAATAGAACCTTGGCTACTTTTAAATGTGTGTGTATAATGTTGTCATGGCCATTGCTCCCTGGACTGCGCCTTGTGGGACATATTGGGCTCTGCCTCGGTTTTGATTTGACTTGGAATTTTCTGAGATTCTAGAAAGAGGGAAAAAAAATCTGTGTTTTGGGGGTGATAGAACTGGAATGACTTGGGCCATCAAGGCACATATGCCGCCACCATCATCAAGTGTTGCTGGGCCTCGGGCTTCCTGAAGCCCACTTCCCATTGAGGAGGGCGCAGACATGACTCTGTGTGCAGGCCCTGCTTCAGGGGAGCTGTGATTCCACAGACACGCTGCACACGAAGCCTTGCGTGCAAAGACCTGTACTTGTCTTTCTAAGAGTCAGCGAGCTCCTCTGTTCAGGGTGGGGCCCCAGAGTGACACCTGTGAGGGTTTCTCAGAACTCGCCCTTCCCTCCCCACAGTCCAGGGAAAGATCCTGGGTTTTCATATACCCAGACCAGACCTGCTCCTGTAAGCGTGTGTATGTGACATTGTGTACTCCATGTACTGTATCCGCTTTCTGTGCCAGTCATCTGACCTGATTCTTTGAAACCCATGAAGGTACTGGTTAAGTGTTGTCCTCATCTCCTAGGTAAACATGGCAATTAAAATACTTCTCGTCTACACTACGGCGCTCATGAGCTTTGCGTTTTGTGAAAGGGTCCTGTTGCTAGTGACCCAGGGTGTTTTTATTGTTTTTGTTTTCTGAAATGCTTCAGAGATGCAGTTCTTACTCTTACACACTTCAGGTTGTTCGGCTAACTCCATGGGGTCAGTGGCTTAGTGCATTCATCCTGGGGCTTGCCTGGGGAGTCCGTCCTCCAGGGAGCACCATAGAAAGCAGAGTGGTCCATTTCCATCTCTTCTGAGTGCCAGTTGTGCAGCTGTCTAATTAGCATAATTTATGGCAAAATTATAACTTTTTTTTTCTTTGCAGAGAATGATACCTCATCCGAGAGGCTCTAATACCTAAAGAGTTTATTGTTAAAACGTGAAAATGACTTTGTACCATAAAATAACCCCGAAGCTACTCTCTCGGGCTCTCGTTGCCTCCTTTCTCGCTCATTCTCTTTGCTGACTCATTTCTGGGACTACTTTTGCGACTTTGGTTCCTTAGAACAAGTTTTCAATTTTGGGGCTCTGCAGTGTGGTCATTGTCTCAGTGAAGTTCTTTTGTTTTAAAAGACTCATGGTAACACAAAATGTATTTTACTGCTACAACTAAAATGTATTTATAATAAAAATGCCTTTTTAATAACTCGGAGACTGGTTTATTGCCTGTGAACTCTGAGGTCTGTGTTTCCTTCCACTTAGAAGTCTGACAGCTGTGGAGACCCAGCCCATTGGGGATTCCTTCAGCATCCCCAGACCCAAACTCACTGGCGCTTCGTAATAGTCAGAAATGGGTGACTTCAGTCCCTAACCATCAGTGGTAGCCAGGGCCAGAGGCGTGAAAGGTGAGCTGAAGGCTTACAGTGTGCAGGGAGAGAATGAGCCCCTTTCAAATCCATCAGGGATTACCAACAGTGATGGAGGACTACCCTGCGTGTCACTGTACTATTAACTGCTGGGCTGATGTGGGCCCTGCTTTATGTAAGTTCTCATAAGCCTCATTTATGTCAGTGTATTATATAAGTATGCTACTACCCATCATGGTGCGGTGTGACAAGGATCAATTTGACGACCACAAAGAAAACAACTGCTGGCTGGGCAGATAATTGTCATTTTTGTTGGCAAATAATTCTTTGCATCTGCCGTGATATGAGTTTTAGAAATCTGACAGATTATAGAACGCTTTGTGTGCCCTGGATATTTTATTTTTAACCTCCTAATGTGGCACCAAATGTAGCTTGAATTATATAGTCCTTAAAGTAAGTTGGTAGGATGGTCAGACTTTGACGAGGACAATTTGTAATTCATATGCATTGCAGTGAGTCAGGATTCCTGCTTTCTTTGAGGTGAGTTGGTATTGCTGTGACATAATCCTCTGGGTTTAGGGGGAAAAAAAAACACCTAGAAACCAAATGCACGTGGAGGGCTCTGTGACCTGCTGGTTCCAAGCCATGAAGGATCGCAAGGGTCCATGGAAAGTACAGTGGCTCGGCTCAGCTGTGGATTCCTGGGTCCTCTTCAGTGCCTCTTGAAGCATGTCTCTGAGAAGCTCTTTGTGAAGTACACACAGAGCCAGGGTGCAGGGGAAGGCTGGGCTGGTGGGAGGGGTGCAGGAAGGGAGCAGAGCTTGGCCTCTGCTTGGTTACATGGGAGCATCCTGCACCCCGCCCCCTCCCGGGGTTGGTTGTGAGCAGCTGAAAGCCGCCTGGTCCTCAGTGGGCTCGGCCACTTAACCTGCGATGTTGTCGCCTCATGCACAGAGATCCTTTTACGATTCTCAGTGCCTGCGATGAAGCCTCGTCACACTTTGATCATTGGGTATTTATGAGCTTCTCAATGGCCAAGACTGGGTCCCCACTCACACCTCTGCTGAGGTTTGATCAGAGGAGAGTATCCAGACCCCTTCACTCCTCCTGGCCATCCTGTGCCCGTGCAGTGTGTCCAGACACCAGCCCTGGAGAGTGGAGATGACCATGGGGATGAAGGAGGTGTAAGCCATGCTGTGTAGTGACATCCCTGCTCACCCGGCACAGCCCTGTGCGTGTGACAAAGCATTAGCATTCACGTGTGCTTTGGGCCTTCACAGGCATCATGATTTGAGCTCTCAGTTGACAGCTTCACCATGGTTATGTCAAGTTTTGACGGATGCCGCCTACTGGAGCACAGCCCCGTCCGTAGGCGCATCCCATGCAGAGCTGGGAGCGGCTGCATCTCCCCTGGGCGCCTTGGAAGCTCCCGCGGCTTTGAAATCGCAGAGGGAGGTAATTAAATTGACTGGAGGACTGCAGCCTGCAAACCTCCGGCATAATCCCACTCAGAGCTCATTAGAAGGGCTGCTGCCATGTGCATGGATTGGAACTCTTGTTTCAGAAAAGTGTTCCTAATTCACCCGAGCAGAGTGATCAGAGAGGGGGTGGGGGGCAGCTCCCTGCAAAGGGGCCCGGGGAGGAGCTGGGTTTCGTGATGTTGGCCCCCCCCGGATTGCACAGACATGATGATGCCAGGTCCTCCTGGGGAGGGGACAGGAGGAAGACCCATACCCTGAGCACAGGTGCATTTTCATAAAGCCTTCAGCCCCTTTTCTAGAAGGGTGTGCAGAGTCTGTGCTCCTTGCCTGTGATCAGGCAGCGTCATTTGGGACAAAGGGAGCAGGGATCAGCATAAGCAGGTGAGCAAACAGCCTTGACCTTTGCTGCTTGGTTTTTTCAGATGACATGTTTACCTGTTTATGAGACAGAGTTCCCTCCGCCCCCTCCTCCCAGGGCCCCGAACAACTGGGAGCCACAGCTGAGAATCAGGAGCGCAGTCTGCTGCCTCCATGGTGCAGGATCGGGAGCTGTCGCCAGGATGGAAGCCAGCCTGTTCAGTGTGGGATATGGGTGAGCGTCTTTACCAGCACCTTTTTTTAAAACATTTATTTATTTTATTTGAAAGGCAGATATACAGAGAGAAGGAGAGAGAAAGAGAAAGATTTTTCTGTCTGCTGGTTCACTCCCCAAGTGGGCGTAATAGCCAGAGTTGAGCCAATTTGAAACCAGGAGCCAAGAGCATCTTAGGGGTCTCCCACATGGGTGCAAGGTCCCAAGGCTTTGGGCTGTCCTCTACTGCTTTCCCAGGCCACAAGCAGGGAGCTGGATGGAAAGTAGAGCAGCTGGGACACAAACCAGTGCCAATATGGGATCCTGGCGGTTATAAGGTTAGAATTTAGCCACTAAGCTGTTGTGCTGGGCTCCTTAACCAGCATCTTAACTGACAGGCCAAATGCCCACCCTGACCATCATCTTGATGAATCGTACCCACTCAGGGTAGCCTGGTAGGCCACCTGGGACCACAGTCACACCCACTGGGCTCTTAGTGCCAACAAGTGCAAGTTCAATTGGGAAACAATTGTGGTCTTGTGTAATGAGGGGTGGTCGCCTGCGTTCCAGCAAGGTGCCTGTAGAAATCTGGTCTTAAAGTGGTCTTAAAGGCTGTCCACTGACACGCTCCAGCTCAGAAAAGCCTCTCAATTGGCAGCTATGGTCTGCTATGGAGTACGCTCCTGGCTCAGTCTCCTACCTTCCACCCAAGCAGGGCACGGGGCCAACCCACTCTGGCTGCAGACACCAGGGGCCGAGAAGCAGCTCTTGGGAACACCTGCCTCACTTCTTAAAGCCATCTCACCACACTTCCTAATCACTATGGCATCACCCTCCCCTGCAGCCCTCCAGGCCATGCCCTTGTTCAGGGCCCCACCCTGCTCTCACATACTGGGCACTATGACAAAGGCTCCGAAAAAGGATTGGGAGGACAAGCTCCCTTAAAGAGAATGGGGCCCCAACCTTCAAAGAGCTTCTAGTCTGCGAGGCTTGCAGTCCCGGGGTGCTGAACCAGAGTGAGGCAGGCTGGCTCTGGGACTGCAAACAAAGCACCAAGGGTGCAGGAGGTGAGGCAGCCGAAAATTTGCTTAGAAGTTTGCAGAACATGGCGCCTTGTGATGTCTGAGCTGGACCCTGCAGAGGCAGCAGGTCTTCCTAGAAAAGGGAGCAGCCTCCCTGCCCCTGTGTGCTTCCAGGAAACCCTCTCAAACCTCACAGCGTTCCCTAAAGCAGCTGCCGGTGGATTCCCAATCCTGCACAGTGCCCAGCCTGGCGCCTGGGGCTGAGCACCTGTGCCATCAGCCGCAGTGTGCCCCCTCCCCAACACGTCCTTGTCGCGGCTCTCAGAGTGCTCAGAGCCAGGTTACAGAGAGGGAAAATGGCCACGAAGCGGAATCTGGAAGGCGTGGCTCAGGGAGCAAGATGGGAGTTGGCGCCAAGAGCTAGAGAGGTTTCTGACTTGGGTGAGTGAGAACTTGAGGTGCCATCCAGCAGGCCTGGCTCTGGCTGTAGGGTTCTCATTGTGCCTTCTCTAACGCTGCATTTCAAATAAATAAAATAATCTTTAAAAAAAAAAAGAGGGAGAAAGCTATAGAACTTGTTTTAATGTTGTAGCGGTCTCTTATGTACCATAAGCATGCACATTGGTTTCCATTCCACGTGGGCTCAGCTGGCGTCCAATCTTTGAAGAGGAGCCCTGAGGAACCTTTGGTTTCTCTGGAAAACTGGAGCCCAGCAAGACTGAACTCATGCCCCACGGCGAAGGGGCCCACAGCTTGGCTTCCGGGAGCAAGAAAAATAGTTCTTTGTGTAACCACCTGGGTCACATACACATTTTGTAAAAATGTATTTATTTTTTATTTGAAAGGC